GTAGGTCCGTTAACATTCAAGGAGAAGAAGGAGAACACGGAAAATTTGCGAATTTTCAAACTAGTTTTTCTTGGCTCAAACACAACCGTTTTTTAAAAATTTTTTTTAATTTTGTTGAGAATGAGTGCCCCTATCCAATAGATGGACAATTATTTTAATAGCTTTTGTTTCTTCAGAGCTATAGACGAGTGAAAAAGCCACTTTGTCACGTCATGTATATATACACTGCAGCAGCTGTGTACCGCTGGGGGACTTGGCGGGGTCCCCCGCCGCTGCCGCGTTCCTTAATAAAATGAAACAAAAAAGTATCATTCCAATATTATTAATGTTTTTATTGCTAAAAATGACCCTGGTTTGTCAAACAAGAGGAAAATTTCTGAAAAAGCAAGCAATGGATCATCATATCTTTGAAATGGATAGAGTAACGTTTAACTATCTTTCCTTTATCTATACACACACAAAATCAAAAACTAAAATTCAGCTAAGTAAACTTAAGTACAAAACAAATAAAAAGTACTGGACATTGCTGCTTAAGAACGAATCATTTGAAGCAATACACTTAGTCAACACAATTGTGCTTCTTATGCTTTTATGTGGTGATATACACCAAAATCCAGGTCCTACAGGAGAAAATATTACAAAAGAACAATGTCCTTTCTGTCTTAAATCATTTACTAGATTAGACTCACACATTAAAGCCTCACATAAGGACCAAGCATCAACTGACAAATCAAATGTATCTTTGCAAAATGGGTCTATACAAAAAGTCACTTACAGTTACAGTCAAGAACCTGGCCCTTCATCTACAAACGAATTTGCTGTAGTGATACCTCCTTCGCGTGATCCTAAGTACACCAGACCTTGTTTGAAATATTACAATGATAATGATAGTGACTCAGAGTCAGATTTTCACACATCACTCAAACCTAATAACCAATTGACTGATAACCTTAACAATACAAATAATATAAATGGCATGAAAAGCATTGAAAACTTTGCACAAAATACTGCCATTGCTCCAAGTAAAAAGAAAAGTATAACATGCCCCCATTGTGGAAAATCGGTAAAAAGTCTAGTTGTTCACATAAGCAGAGCCCATGCAACAGTACATAGAGATAAAATAATTGAAAAATACGTTGATGACTTACAAGAAAAGGTTACCCACAAAGTTGAAACCCAATCAAAAGACACTAACTTTCAAAAAATGTTGTGTGATTGGGAAGAAAAATTCGATAAAGTAACAGATCTAGATAACATTGAACAGTTGAATAAAAAAATGAACGAGTTTACAACATTTTTAGCTTCAGCTGTAAACTATTTGCCTGGACCTAAACACCCTGCAATGAAGTATTACAACTTAAGAAAATCAAACCTAAGTTTGAATAATGGTAAAACCTATAAAACCTCAAGCAATCCAATGCGAGCTTCAAAAAGAGAAAAGTCTAAAAGAAAAGAAAAATATTTGTACGAAAAAGCACAATATCTGTATTATAATCAAAGGCGAAAAGCTTGCAGGATGGTTATGGGATCTGGCGATGTATCTTGTAAGATATCTACAAATGATTTGTACAAGGAGTTCGACAATCGTTTTGCTAAGCAAAATACATCAGTTAGAGATCACTACGAAAACACTCATTCCACTACTTTTAATGAAGAAGAAGACTTTGAAGAAATAATTGTCACTGCTGAAGAAATGATGAATGCTATGAAATCAATTACTGTTGACACTTCTCCTGGTGTAGACAAAGTGTTAATGAGAGTCATAAAATGTAAGAAAGTGTCGGTTATTTTGGCAAAGATATGTACAATCATGATGCTAAAAGGTTGGGTCCCTGATTGTTTTAAACTTGCAAGAACAGTTTTAATTTACAAAGGAGGTGACGTTAAAGATGCTAAAAACTTGCTCTGTCTTACGAAGAAGTGTTGAAAGAGTTCTAGACAAAAGACTGAGAGGTCATATACGTTTTAACCCAAACCAAAGAGGTTTTACTAGTACACCAGGAACAACAATCAATGTAGAAATAGTGAACTCAATTTTAACAAAAGCTAAGACAGAGGAAAAAGAAGTTTCATTGGTTTTTCTAGATATTAACAAAGCTTATGATTGTGTTGGGCACGAACACCTAGTTAAAACGCTAGAATCACATAACATTCCTAGGAAGTTAAAAACTTTGATAGCAAATCTTCAGTTAGACAACCAAACTATTATTGAAACTGGTGGAAGTAAAACAAAAGCGATTCCCTTCAAACGAGGGTTACTACAAGGAGCACCTTTATCCCCTATGCTGTATAATTTGTGCACAGATTTCATTTTAAATGAACTAAGTGAAAAAGAAGTTCAAATGGCGTACGGATACGAACTTCTGCCGGATTTAGATAGACTAACCATAATGGGATTTGCTGATGATTTAGTTATTATTGGTAAAGACAAACAAAGTGTTGCAACCCTTACTTCAATGGCCATTAATTTACTTAATTCGATCGGACTAGAAATAAACCCCAACAAATGTCAGTCTATCGTGATTGAAAAAGGGCTTCTAGTTGAAAGTAATATCTGGTTAGATGAAAACTTGTTCATAAAAAGTATTTCAGATAGTGAAAACATAAAGTATTTAGGTGTTAACTTTTCCCAAGGGATCGTTTTTAATAAGGAGAGAATAATTAAACAATTCAAATCCCAATTAGAAAGACTAACATCGACTACATTACTTTTGTCAAGCCAAAAGTTTAATATAATTAATCAATGTATATGGCCAACGTTAATATATCCATTTCAAAATGCTCCACTCCATAAATTACCAGTAGCATTTTTAACTGACTTAGACAAACTGGTTAAAAGTAGTGTTAAAGAAATATTAAGCTTACCAACTGACACTCCAGATTTTATGTTATATAGCCCAAAAAAATATAAAGGACTTGGATTAATCAAGGCTCAATGGGAAGCATATATTCAGCAACTTAATTCTATACAAATACTCAGACGGGTTAAAATTGTTATACAATAAATGAAGACAAATTTAAACGGATAGAAACAATTTGTTTAAAAAAATTACACCTAGAAGAAATTGATCGTAATCAAACAATAAATACCCAAAAATTAAGAAATGACTAAAGAGAACAAGAGTTTGAAAATTGGAAAAGCTTAAAACAGAAGGGTAAAGGTGTTGAACTTTTCAAGGACTATACTCCGGGAAATAAAAGTATTATTAATAAAGAAGGCTTGTCAGAATCTGAGTGGGAAGACAGTATAAAAATGATTGCAAATGTGGTGCCAGTGTGTGTTCTCCACGGCAGAAGTCAGGGCAATAACCGCTGCAGGCATGCCTGTGGTGAGATTGAAACCCTTGCACATGCCCTTGGCTTCTGTCCGTTTGGTGAACTTCTAAGAAACACAAGGCACCACAAAATAAGAAGTATCATAGCAAATACCTTCCGAAAAAGGTATAATACATGGGAAGTGCAAGAAGAAGTACACTGTCTTTCTTCTAACGGAAGCACCAGAAGTGTAGATATTTTATTGATTGAGAGAGATACTAACAAAGGCATAATTCTCGATCCTACAATTCGATTTGAAACAAACATAAATCAAGCTAACAAAGTAAATGAAGAAAAGAAAAAAAATTATGATTCTACCTTTGAATATTTCAAGCAAAATTTTAAAATTTCAAAAATTGAGGTGATTGGATTGTTTATTGGTTCTAGAGGAACATTATCAAAATTTTTTGTGAACTTTTGGAAACAATATGATTTGGACAGATCCTTTTTGAAAATTATTATTCATGAAACATTAAGAGGTTCATTGACTATAATGAGAAATCATCTATATGGCAAACATCAAAATTAATCAGTCTTATAGCTGTATAATCCTTAGATATTTTATGTGTACTATTTTTCTGTGTCATTGGCAACCTTATTGTTTAAGGCAGAGGTATTTATTTTTATAAATAAATTCTTTTCTCTATATATAAGGATATATATATATATGAATTTGAACTGATTGTTTTTCACCTCTGGGGACCTCAACACGAAAAATTAAAGTGATCCCAGTTCCATAATCATGATAAGGTCTTAATGGTCTTATCATGAGACCTACGGTAATAGCTTATTACCTTTATGGGAAATTCACAAAAAAAAAACTGAAAAACCAACTGCACTTAGCCATTGATGGACAGACTAGCAAAACTTAAGTACTGATTTACATCCTAGGCAAATCAGCCCGGAAAGCATAAGTGTAAAAGCATAGGTAAGAGCTAATGTACTAAATACTAACCATCCTCTGAGAGCCCGCATTGAATTTTAGGCTCGTCCAGGAACCGCACGATAGTGTGAAAGTTCCCATAAGATTCCATAGTCAAAACAGTTTCGTTCGATACGGGACAGGCCTGGACCGCACTGGTGTAAAAGAAGGCTAACCCAGCTAATTACACATACTGTTTTACATCAGGTGATAGTTTAAAAAAGTTATGTGCATCAGGTTAAAAAAGTTACTTATCAGTTAAAATTGCTAAAACATTTTTTTATTATAACTATTCTTAAATATCGATAACGGGATATCTATTAAAGTGAAGTTAAAATGTAACACTAGGATGAACACAAATAAATTCCAATAACAATAATCCAGCTAATATTCTTGTCTCTCGAGGGATTAAAAGAACTACTTTAGTCACTAAATATAGTGAGAGCACCAGTGAATAACCGTTTAAGCTTTAGTTTCCACTTGTATCTGGCATGAGAAAATAGACAATTAAGCTACAATGTAAAGAATGGTTTAAATGTCTTGTCCGTATTCTCCTGAAATTCCTAATAATAAAGCTTAATATCTCATGTTCAAACAGTGTTGAAAAATACAAGTGATCGCACATAAATCATTTTTATTATTCAGCATTGAAGATGTTAAGAACGTTTGTTATTGACTGGACAAAACAAATATCTGTGTTTTATATGAAACGGACATTCACTGGCACACTCATTTATGTACAGGCAGACATAGTTTACTTACATATGGTAATAGATTTTATAATGTAATTTTTCCAGACTTACACAGTTACATTTAAAAAAAATGTTGGTCCTTGGGTTCATTACTCAGGTTACAAACACCTATTGTCAATTCAATGTTAACACTTCACTATGACACATAAAAAATAGGTAATTGACTGTTCGTATATCACATAGTTGATGGTTAGGAATGCGTTTGGCTATTTCTTCACTGTTGGAACATCAAATAGGTCAGAGACACCTTCGTTGTCAGCCAGATTGAAGCTGTAGTCCAAACTGTTGAGAGGAGGGCTCAGCCTTAAAAATGGTGAATTTGCTGAAATTGTTCCAAAATTGATAAAATGCATAATATTGGTTTTTAAACCACTTTCTAAAAGAATACAATCACTGTCCAAAAGAAACCATGTTAACCCTGCACCACAAATAGATATGGCTTTAGTTTTCATTCAATAATATAGTAGAGTCCTGTTATTCTGAACTTACTGGAACATAAACCTGTTTGTAATAACTAGATTTCTGAAATAATATTAACATATCTAGGGCAAAATTACAGTTGATGTTTATGTAGCTACCAGCGCAAAATGTGTGGGTGTAATGGCTGCTATCAGGAGAGATGATGATGATGCTGCCCTAGCATTTAAGTGTATTAAAAGCTTCACAAGGACATAACTAACATCAGCAATGTTCACTGTTGTCATATCATCGCCAGATTCTCCACTGTTCACGTTTGTGGCAACATTGCAAATTAGGCCAACCAACATTTGTGGTATCACTAAATTCTACCGGTCGAGGAGATTTTGATAGTATTTTTTCTATAGGAAATACCATCACTTTATTTTAGGAAATATCAAGCAACATCACTGACATCTTCAACATTCGTGTCACATTGACAACCTTGCTGAAGATTGCGAAATCATCGCTTGAATCTTTAAAGTTTATAGTGTTATTGCCAGTGGCTCATGGAATAGACATTGCTGACTTGTGTGATACTGCTAACTTCGGGGAAGTTTATGGTGATATTGCTAGCTCTTTTGATGTTTGTGACGACATTGTGAGCTTTTCCGACATTTGCAAGGACATCGCTAGTTTCAATGATGTACACGGTAAAGTAGTTAGATTGTACTATCTACTACAAAAATTAAATAATTTACAAACTATTGTTTGAAATAGGCAGATAATTGAAATATTAGGGTTAGGAACGGCGGGATTCTACTGGTCTTTTAGTCAATTCAACTATTTTAAAGCTCATGAAATCAGCCTGATTTTATATGGGAAGACCTGTAGATAACAAGATATAGCCTATTATACAGATAAAAAGGGTAAAGAGGAAACATTCAATGGAACACTTAATGGTGTCTCGCACTAGTCACTGGTGTCTAGAGCAAAGTCCCTCTCGCTCTCATATACCACAGCGGAGAAAAATCCAGAGTGCTCGCTGCCTAGTCTCTTCCTTGGTCGTCACAAGTATATTAACGGCACAACATACCAGATCTGAAAGTGCACAGTCTTCCCATAAGCTTGTTTCCTCTGTACCTCACTTCTCTGTGCTTACTGCTTATGCATAGTTTAACTTTTGTTAATGCTTGTCCTCAGTAATACTCTTTCAAGTAATAAAGAGGTAACAAAGTACTTAATCGTAATAGTTCTAAGCATCACGATTGCAATTATTTATTCCTTAGTTAAAATTATTAATTCACGATAAATTATGCAGTGCGTTACCAACAGACAAAACTTGAAACAAAACTATGTATTCTATCATAATTGATCTACACACAGAAGTATAAAAATTGAAATCAGAAACTTTATTCAGCCAGCTTTTTAAGTGTAAATATCTTATTGCAAGTGTTATTAGACGGGAGACGTATATATTTTTGTATTTTTTAGATCAATAATAATGAGAAAAAATTAAATTACACTGTTGTTGGTGTCAAACATATGAATTAAATACAAGAATTTTAACAGTTTATAATACTTACAAACTCCTTTTTAAAATTTAAGTTTTTAGCTACTGGTAATAGAATTTTTCTTCCTGACTAAATGACACAAGCTGTGTTGCATGAAAAAAATTATGTTTTTAAGCATCAGAACAAATCTTGTGTCAGTAAAAATAGTTGCTACTAATTCCCCTAATCTTCTACATAATTAATAGGCCAACATGAATTTTGTGGTAAATTGTTTTGAAGCTGCCAAGCATCTGATGACCATGTTTAAGGTGTAATTGGATAGGTCGTGGCCTGCAGATTTGCTATAAACCGAAAAATCTTTTTCACCACACTTCACCCTATTACCACTATTCACCACTATAATTATGCACAATGATAGTCAACACAACTACAACTTTAAGGTTATGTGAAGAAATAATTTGAGGAATCAGCAAAAATAAAAATAAATAGTTGCTAGGCAACTGTGACAATAACACAATTCTATTGCAATGCTATGGATTTTGATTGTGTATTTAAAATGCATTCGTGTTTTAAGTAAGTAAGCGGACAGCTGATTTTGCGGCCCCGGCCTGTAAAAACCTGCTCGGTCCCCAAATTACGATGACAGCTGGCATGGCCAGCAAAACGTAACTTTCAGCCACCAATTAACGTATGTAATACAGCCAAAAACACCATAGTGTGGTGAAAAATCTTTAACATTCCATCAGGGCTCTATATCAGTGGCCTTCAAAGTTCCTATATTATTCTTAGGGAGAAAATGTTTGTTTACAGTTTGAATTTAGACTAATATTTGAAACAGCTGAATAATTTTTCTGCTCCTTAGTTGTTTTAAACTCACCATCACTTTCATAAGGATCTGGTGCTGGTGATACATCCATATCAGTATTGGTAACTAAAAAATCTGAAACAGAACCATCCATTTTGTGTAATTGGTATGTTAAGGAAATTTAAAACTCAATATTACACTGTCATTATTGAAAGGCCTATTTTTTTTTGTAATTTTTAAAATTATCATTATGTGTTAAAATTGTCATCGTGTATTGTCATTATGTTTTCTCCTAATAATGACATATTCAAAATCTAGTTCCATAAACTAACAGGAAATTATGGAAATGGCTTAAGCCAACCATGAAAGATTTGACTTATTACTAAATGATAACAATTTAATGTCCAATGGACCCCCTCAAGCTATAGACCAATTTTATTGTTTTCAGTTTTTTTTTTTTTTATAATAGAAAACGTAGTATACAACCAACTTTTCAAACTTTAACCCTAGCAGTGGCCGATCGTCGTCTGGTGACGATCTGGCGTTGATGCTTAGAATGGCCAAAGTCGTCTGGTGACGATCTGGGCCGAAATTTTTTTAGCGGTAAAAAAAACACTAACAATCTACTCAGATGAGAATAATATATATACCATTCGAAAGATCACATTCTGAACTTTCATTTTATTACATAAACAAACCCTGTAGCAGGTATATAACAATGTCACGACGATTAGAAATCATATGAATTTTTGGCGCGGCACGACTTTTGCAGCAGACACTTGGGAACTGGCAAAACACGTCTTGTTTGGCATTACCCTGCTCGGATAATTTTCGTCGTGGGATGTTGCGGGTGGTGCCACTGGATAGCCATTGATTTTATCTTCATTGTGGTAGTAATATTTAGAACGAAATATTGATTGCACAACCGGTACGATTTTATGAAAACAGCTGTTTTCGAAATTTTTAACAAATGGCCAATGGTCGTCAGGTGACGATGTGGAAAATACGAATTACATACACTGTAAGTTATTATTACTAGTGATATAATATGTCATTTTGAAGAGGAAGAAATATAGATTGTGAGAGTGGCAGCCCTGCGCTCAGAGTTATTTACGTCTGCTCACATATGAAGACGACGGAAGTGATAGGTGACATCTATATATTTAACTAGCTGTATCCGCGGGCTTTGCCCCTTTTTACTTCATAAGTGAGCTCGTTCGCATGGCTCAATCACGTCCTGGTTGAAGTTCGTTCGCTACGCTCACTCACCTTTTGGTTGCAAATTGGCTGTAGTCATAAATTAAAAAAAATAATAGTGCTGCACCCTGTTGGTAATCCTTGTAACTTTAATGCTATTGAACATCATAGAACAGAACCAACTTGTTTAATTGAAACAGCTGTTAAGAAATTCCTTTTAAATATGAAAAATCATAAGGTTAACATGGGAAACTCCAGAGCCACTGGGGCGGAGCCCGAAAGCCCGATCAGAATACAAACTACTTAGTTTTCCTATTCAATGCCCAAAGAATCGGTGTACCGAATTTCAGCCTCCTAGGTAAATGGGAAGTGTGAGAATTAGTGATGAGTGAGTGAGTCAGTCAGTCAGTCAGTGAGGGCTTTGCCTTTTATATATTTAGATAATTTTTTTTTTTTAAGCTCTACAAAATGGTTTGAAAAGAAAATGCTAAATTTTAAGTTTAAGTACCAATTTTTACCCCATAAAACTCCCCATGAACCACTGTTCCCATAGTCTGATCATGCTGTTTCGCGAACTCGTTAGAATAAACTTAGGTTTACACGTTTGTACCAAATTTCATAAAAATTAGATGATTTTTGCTCGAGTTATCGGGCTAACTGACACGTATGTAAATATATATATATATATATATGAATTTGAACGGATGGTGTTTTTGGCCTCTAGGGACCTCAAAATGAAAAAGTAAATCGGTCCCGGATCCAAGTCTTACCATGAGTACTACGGTAATAGCTTATTACCTATAGGGGAAATTTCGCTAAAATTTATTCTTAAATTATACAAAACTAAATCAGATTGATGGCAATACATTTTTTCTTGGGCTAATATTAGACCAGCATCTAACATGGAATAAACACATTGTTTGTTGTGTCAACCATGTTGACAAGATGTCGTCTGAGTGCTATACATTGCAACAGATGAGCCTAGTTTGCAATATGGATATTTTACCATACTTGGCTCTTATAAACTCCCTTATAAACTTGTCATACTGTATTGCAATATATATAGCTACCTCAAACAAAGATTCCGATCAGAATTTTTTTTTCAAAAAGGAAAAAGCAATCAAGATAATTTTTAATTCAAACCCATAACAGTCTGTTAAAGAATGTTTTTCCAAATTGGGTATTTTAATAGTATATGATGTGTATATTTTTGAAACCCTGATGTACACTAAAGCAAATCACATAATGCCTTAAAAAAATCATAAACACAACACTAGATTAACCCTTTTACCGCCACGGACATATGCAACATTGCGCGCGAAGACCACCGAGCGCTATGTCAGCTGACTGTCTGAAGGTTGCCAACCCAACAGCTGGCGACACGACTGAGAATCGCCGCAGCGAAATCCACTAATTTGCCGACATCTATTGAAACGATCATAACTCCGCGTAAATAATAGCTAGACCTTTAATTTTTTTTTTTTTTGTTTGTCTTTAACTGTTCTACATGTACATATATAGTTTGGAAAGCTTATACCACTTTTTAGTTTAATTAATATGAGCAAGTTTTAAAAAAATTGTAAATTTAATATAAAATTTCAATTTTAAAATTTTAAAACGTGTATATATATAACTTTTTTATGCATAAACTATACATTTTTGGAAACATAATTATCTTATGAGACCATACAACAGTTCTAAGAAGAAATATTCATAAATAAAGATATACTATTAAAAAATAACAAAAGGTGTATTTTTCACAAAAAGGCATTTTTGGAATATTTGCTAGGTACAATTTATTGCTCTGTAACAATTAAGCCATTGCAGTTTTTTACGTGAAATTATTACATCTAGAAATATTTTCAAGTTAAAAACAAGCTTCCTCATAGAACTATAAAATTAAATTATAATTCTAAATAGTTTTGAAAACTATTTTGCTGAAACTCACCAAAATATTCCTGGAGTTGAAGTTTCTATGTTTCTATGTCCAGGGAGTTAAATGACACACACACAAATTAAAGGAACACACAACCAGTTTTTAAAGAGTAAAATGAACAAATTTGATTAATATTTACATTGTTGACCCTTATGACGGGGCAGACAATCCAAATGGCAACTGGCCTTTGACACATACGGTTCTGCTGCGTCTTCTCTTGCCTTCTGGGTTATTTTTGCCACTACATACACAGCATATTTTTTCCTTGTGTCCTTCGAGTTTTTCCACCCCAAAACCTTGTTTCTGGGACCATCCCCGCCGCCATCACCACCATGAACATTTGCGGCGTTTTTGGCTGTCAGCCATTCATCTGCCATGGCCTCGATTATGGAGATTTGAAATTGTAGTCGGGAAACAGGCTTGTCAGTGTTTTGTTTGTATAACACGTAGGCATTAAGTACCATTCGGCCAAATATATTAAAAATAACCTTCTTCCAATGTTTCATACATCTCCTTTCATCCAAATGCGTATACAACATTTGATCCGTCCCGTCTATTCCCCCTATTTCATTATTATATTGGTAGACGATGTCCGGTTTATTTTTGATCACAACCCTGCCAGATCTTCGTATTGCATATCTTACGTTCCTTGCCACAGATTTTGTTGACAGTAGAATAAATTGAGATTAGTTAGTAGCTTTCTCCCGGAATGCCATCTGAAAAACCGCTCCCTTCCTCACATAAACCTTTTTACCAACTGGGTACTTTTCTTTGAGTTGGCGAGGAATACCCTTGCGATCCAACCTTTGTGTTCCGGTTAGGTATGTAGATTTGCTGTACAAATATCTGGCAAGTTTTTTTGTAACAAAAAAATTGTCTAAATACAAATGATAGCCATTGTTCAGAAGATTTGCCATCTCGAGTAGTTTTACCACGACTGTCGCCCCTAATCCATATTTATCTATCCTTGCACGGTCGGTTTCGAACCTAGCACCCTTGTAGCAGTAAAACTGTGAGCAATATTTGGTTAGAGCATCGCACAGGACCCAAAGTTTTATGCCCCACCGATGGTGCTTCTTTTTGGGGATATACTGTGTCATGGCGATCCGTTTTTTTGTCCCCACCAAGGATTCATCCACTGACAATTTTTCATAAGGGATATAGTAAAGGCGAAAAAGACGGTTGCAATGGTCAATTAGCGGTTGAAAACGCCCACATGGGTCGTAGTTCGGCTCATTCTGATTTGGGAGGGTGTTTGGGTCAACCAGATGAAAAAACTTCAATAAAATTTTGAATCTGTTTCAACTGAATAACTTGCTAAACCAGGAGTTAGATTGGGAAGAACTGGTAAACCAGTAACTCTTGACAGTCGGTTTTTTAATGATTCCCATGTTTAGGATTACAGAAATGAAACCTTTCATTTCTTCCACGCTTGTGTTTACCCAAGATCGCAGTTGGCTTCTGGGGCTTTTATTGCCCTCACGAGAACTCAAATACCCTAGTGCATTTTTGTTAGTTTCTACTGCAAATGTGTTCAACAGCACATTGGTAAAATACCCCCGTCGCAGCAAACCTGCATACTAAGCGAATTTCCATTTACCCGGCTTGATTTCTACTAAAATATTGCCTATAAATTTTCAGATTTATTTCCATTTTTAAATAACATTAATTTTAGTGAGTAGTTAGGTTTGCTGCTACGGGGAAGATGTTGAGGTGTGTTTTTTCAATTGAAATATTGATAGCTTAGTATGAAATAAACCAAATAAACAAGCAAACTAGAACAGTTAATTTATTCTCCATAAGAATAACATGAGAATTTTAAATTTACAATTTTTTTTAATTTTCTCCGTAGTCAATGAACATTCAAAAACACTTCAATATACTAAATTATTTGTTTTTTTAAGCTCTTCAAAATGGTCTAGAGAGAAATTTAGAAATTTAAAGTTTTTAGGGTCAAAAATGAGAAAAACCCATTTTTACCCCATAAAACCTCCCATAAACC